GCCGCCCAGCCCTCCAGCAGAGCCATGGGGCAGCTCTCCAGCCCCGTGGCCATTTCCCTCTGCAGAGCCCAGGGGCTGAGAGCAGCTGCCCGGCAATGGTGGTGCCTGGGAGGTGGCGTGCAGAGCTGGGGGAGGGTAATGGTGCCTGAGGGTCCACCTGCCTCTGCCCTGGCCTCTTTGCACCTCACTGGAGTTTTGCTTGTGTCTCCAGTGGTTTGTGTTATTGTTTTTGTTATTTAATTTTTTCTGTGTTTCCATGGACATATTTGTCCCAGATTTCTTCTAATCTGTGGGGCACTGTGTGTGTGTGTGTGCTTTCCCATACAAAATTTTGGTTGGTGTGGGAAAAAGAGCCATGTGTGTCCTTGGCTAGAAGTGAGACACTGAGACCTTGAGAAAGGTGAGAAAATAGTGACCTGCGCTGGATAATTCTAATTTCAACAGGGTCTGATTGCTTTTCAGGATAACATAAGAGGTTTATCACACTTCATCTCTAAAAGGTGCAAGAAAGGGTGCCTGCGACAAACTTGAAGAAACAGAGCAGCTGCCCTCACTCTGCGCTAAGCCACAGGAACCCTCTTGCCTTGCAGGACTTGCTCTGTTCTCCCTGAGTGCACCAGGAATGCTGAGGCTTTCTGACATCCAAGAAAACACCCAAGGTAAGATGAGGGAGCTTTAAAAATCCAGACCTCTCCAACTGCCTTCTGCTATCCCTGTTCCTTAGCACTCGGGGTGCAGATGTTGACGGGCCCTTCTGCATTATCAGCACTTTCATCTGACAAAGTCAAACAGCAGAACTGGCCCCTGCCCCAGCGTTCCCATGAGCTCACTGCTGCAGAGCAGGGCTGACTCCTCAACAGCCAGTGGGCAGGGGCCCTGCTCCTCACGGCATGTTCGGCCAGCAGAAGCCAGAGCTGCAGCCATGGAGCTGAAGGAAAGTCTCCTGGAAAAGCCATTGGGTGGGGGCTGGAGTGTAGCAGGGTGCAGGTCTAGGAGAAAGGCAATTTTTCCTCAGAGAAATCTCCCTTAACTCTTCAATGACTCTTCCTTTAAGAACAGGTCCCCATGCCCAGGGGCAGCAATTGTCCAACAGCAGCTCTGTCATCCAGTTCCTCCTCCTGGCCTTCGTGGACACATGGGAGCTGCAGCTCTTGCACTTCTGGCTCTTCCTGTGCATCTACCTATCCGCCCTCCTGGGCAACGGACTCATCATCATCACCATAGCATGTGACCACCGCCTCCACACACCCCTGTACTTCTTCCTCCTCAACCTCTCCATCATCGACCTTGGATCCATCTCAACCACTGTTCCCAAAACCATGGCCAATTCCCTCTGGCACACCAGAGAAATCTCTTATAGAGGATGTGCTCTCCAGCTCTTTCTGTTTACCTTCTTGGTAGTAGCAGAGTTTTCTCTTCTCACCATCATGGCCTATGACCGGTACGTTGCCATCTGCCAACCCTTTCACTACGGGACCCTCCTGGGCAGCAGAGCTTGTGTCCATATGGCAGCAGCTGCTTGGGGCTGTGGCTTCCTCAATGCTCTCCTGCACACTGTCACTACATTTTCCATTCCCCTCTGCCAAGGCAATGCTGTGGATCAGTTCTTCTGTGAAATCCCCCAGATCCTCAAGCTCTCCTGCTCACACTCCTACCTCAGGGAAGTTGGGCTTCTTGTGTTTGGTGTCTGTATTGTATTCGGGTGTTTTGTTTTCATTGTGGTATCTTATGTGCAGATCTTCAGGGCCATGCTGAGGATCCCCTCTCAGCAGGGACGGCACAAAGCTTTTTCCACGTGCCTCCCTCACCTCACTGTGGTCTCCCTTTATGTCAGCACTGGCACATTTGCCTACCTGAAGCCCCCCTCCATCTCTTCCCCATCCCTGGATCTGGTGGTGGCTGTTCTGTACTCGGTGGTGCCCCCAACAGTGAACCCCCTCATCTACAGCATGAGGAACAGGGAGCTCAAGGATGCCCTGAGGAAACGGATTCAATGGGTTCACCTTCGGCATCCGTAAGCTGCCCATCTCTCCTCACTGGATAATTTCCATTATGATCACGTGCATACAGGCATGTTTGTATTCATCCCACATCTTCAGAAGTGTGGCCTGTCTCTGCATTCCTTTAATAAATGTGTCGTGATGGTGTCAGAGCTGGATTCCTGAGGAGCAAGCCTATGTAATGCCCTTAAATTTAGCTGGGTGAGGAATATGTCCCAGAGTGTGTCCTCATGGATTGCATTTTTGGGTTTGTGAAAGAGAGGGTGACTGGATGAACCCAGGGCTGATGACGCCTGATCATCCTCTTTGCTTCCCACGAGGAAAGGGCTGCACCCGTGGCTGAGGGGAGGGCAGTGTCATTTTCTCCATCCACCATCTCTCCAAACACTTTCTTTTCCAAGAACACACAGGCTGGAGGGATGGGCACTCAAGAAAATGGATGATGTGAGGGCATTGCCAGATTCTGGCTTCTATCCTAGCTCTGACCCAAGCCCCAAGAAAAAGTCTATTCCACAAAGCTGGCCCACAGCCTAAAAATAAACCGGACACCCTCAGCAGAACACCAAACCCTCTTCCAAAGCCTCTGCCTAAACCCTAACCCTGAAAGGCAAGCTCCAATCCCTTAACCCCAACCTTGACACCTAAACCCCAAAGCCCTCATACCCACACTCCAACCTCCTCACCTTTAGCTCCCACAAGGAGGAGATGGGTGGGGGTGCTATGGTGAGGTCAGCTGTGCCTCAGGATCTCATGGGCCAGGAGGAAGAACACAGCTCTGAGGTCACGTCTACCAGAATCCGTTATAGGCCAGCAGGAGACTTGGATGCTGCTTTGCACCAAGTGCCTTTGATCATGCTGCAGCAAGCCGTGCAGACCCCAGCCATTGAAGCGTTATCCCATTTTTCTCCTGGGAGCGCTGTCAAGGTTTTCTTACAAGGAAAGCCATTCCAGTTATCGTTTCTACTGCCCCACAAAGAGGATGGGAGTCACATGGGAGGTTTTTTCCTGTCGTTTTTGATAAAGGGGAGGACATGCAGGTGGCCTAATTGCTGGTAGCAGGTGGGATCTTCCTTCAACTTCTCTGTTATAAACAAGTGTATCTGGCAACCCAGGGGTATGGTCAGCACAGCACAGCCTGAAGGCCAAGCTCTACATGGAGCACAGCACAGCGCAGGTCTGGGTCTACTCAGCTTTACTGTCCCATGTATCACTAACTCCTATGTGACATCTGGTCAGGATCACTACATCAGCTGAGGAAGGTGAGGAGGAGGAGGAGGTCTCCCTTAGATGGCTGGAGGAAGGAACACAATTTTCGGCCTTAGTAGTCACAGGGGACTTTGTTCTCCTGGATAGGAGTTTCACAAACAGACAAGGCAGGACTTGCAAAAGATGTGGAGGGCAGCTTGGGCTGCAGTGCGAGTAAGGTGGCAGGGTAGAAAACCCTGCTGGAAGTGATCAAGACAGATTGTAGAAGCTCTAAGTGGAGAAGAAGGATGACCTCCACCCACCTGCCAACAGTACTCTTCCTAATGCAGCCCACCATGTCAATGGTTGCCTTTCCTGCAAGCGTGCAAACCAAGAAGAGAAGGCTTTGGGGAGACCTGACAACAGCCTTCCCATGCCTTCTTGAGTATCAGGTAGGAAACAGAGCCAGGCTCTTCCCTGTAGAGCATGATGGGAGGAGGAGGGCCAATGGGCATATTTCATCCTCCAGCTGAAACAAGTGAGGACAATCTTTCTCCCCATCCAGGGAGTCAAACACTGGATCAGATTTCCCAGAGAGCTTGTGTCATCTCCATCCTCACAGCCTTTCAAGCCCAAAGTGAACAACCCCCTGAGCAAGCTGCTCTGACCCCAGAGCTGAGCCTGCTGAGAGCAGCAGTTTGGCCTAGAGACCTCCTGCAGTCCCTTCCAGCACAAATGTATCTGTGCTTCAACACACCAGGACTCTTGCCTTCATGATGGGAGGGAAACTACTCAGGTTCCCAGTGACCACTAAGCCAGCCAGAAAGAAGCGTGGGCAGATGATCTTTGTCTTTCTCTTCCTAGTTACGGTTGGGCTCAGCGACCTTAAAGGTCTACAAAAACCAAATAGTTCTATGATTGCAGGCATTGTTTCTCAGATGAGGGGCTGCTGACTTCCTAGTCTTCACCTTTTCTTAACCTTTTCCTTTTTTGCCCACTCACAATTTCTTCCCCTTACCCATCCTTGCACCCTCCCATGCAAACAGCCCATCTCTCTTTTAACACTTTCCTCCCTGGCACTCCTTCGCCTTCCTTTATACCCTCATTTGGTCCTTCTCGTCTTGTCACCATGGGAATTCCTTCCTTGGTAAGCAACTCCTTTCAACTAGTACTTCCTTCTATTATCAGTAGTGTCCAGTCATTCCTGATGCTATTACCTTGTCAGAGGCACTGCGTGTCAGGGTGAACCATCTGTACGTGCACATTAACAGCTGTCCAAACAGAGCTTCACTCCAGGGGGACCTTGAAAAACAGTGGGATCTGGTCAGCAGAAACCACACCAAGTTTTACAAGGAGAAGCGGCCAATCCTGTAGGGAGGGCAGAATAATCCAAAAAATGAGGCCAGGCTGCGACCTGAGCGGCTCGGGAGTGACCCTGAGGAGAAGGGCCTGGGTATGAAGAGGAATGCCCTATGAGCCAGTGGTGCATGCACACCATGAATAAGGGCAGCTGCAGAGTGGGCTGCATGAGGGGGAGCATGGCCAGCCATGAGAGGGAGTTCTCATCCCCCTTGACTAAGCAGTGGCGTGGCCACATCTGGACTGGTGTGTCTGCATGTGGGGCTCCCCAGTCTGGAGGAATGGGGAGAACTGGAGAGGTTCTAGAGGAGATCTGTCAGGATTCGGTTTGAGTCCAGTAGGGAGAAGCTGAAGATCTGGGATTCTGTGCCTTTTGAAGTGGAAGCTCAGGGCTCTGTAGTAGTAGCCAGCAATTCCTTGAAGGTTGGTTTCAGAGATGATGGAACATCCCTTTTGAAAGGTCATGGGATTGGTAGAGGTCTCTTGTGAGCAAGGACAAGACAATGTTGCACCATCTTTGAAAGAGGCCAAAAGTGCAACCCAGGGAACCCCAGGCTGTACAAGCTCACTGTGCTGACAAGTGTCCCTTGGCGTGAGTGCTCTTGGGTGACATTTCTGGGCACCTACCAGCCTGAAAGGAAAGAGCTACAGGCATGGGACAGTGTGGGACAGCCTGCAGTTGAGATGGCCAAGGGCTCTGGCAAGGCTGAAAGGCCACACAACAGCAAGGTCTTTGTCCCCTGGGCTAGGACACTAGCATCTGCCACTGAGGCCTACCAGAAGAAACTGGATTTGGTGGCTCTGCTCTCGGTTTCCTCCTCAGCCCTTCTTGGCCAAACCAGGACGGGCTGTACAGTTTTCCCGCACTTGGCATTACTCACCCTCACACCCCACTGCCCACACAAAGAGCCCTGAGCCATGCAGGAGGGACAGGATCTGCCTTCCCAGGGCCTGTGGGTCAGGCCTTGGTCTTTCTGCTGCCTAACACCAACCAAGGATTTGACAGCATTAGAGCCACTTGCGCAGTGCCTTTGCCTGTCTGCAGTCATGGCCTCCAATGAGCTGCTCTAACGAGTCCCTGGGGAGGTTCTGTCAGTAATGGCCCTCACTGGGGCCCATTAATGCTTCAAGGTACTTTGAGTTTGGCTTCCAACTTGGACTTCCTCAGAGGTTTCTTCCATCTCCTCTCTCTGTATCTGAACTTCATGGACTCAGCCCCAAAGACACCATGTGCTCCTGAAAATACAAAAAGCCATAATGATATCTTTCTCTTAGTTGTCTTCAAGTCTTCAGGACTTGTGCATGTCTTTCAGTGGAGGAGAGTCATGGAGATGCTCAGGGGCTGGAGCACTTGCCTGGGAGGAGAAACTGCAGGGAAGGGCCTTGTTCAGCCTGCAGGGGGGAAGGCTTTGGGACCCTCCTGGTGACCTGCCAGTCCCTCGGGGGAGGTTTTCAGGGAGATGAAACCAGTGTTGTCACTGCAGTGCTGGGCAGGTGACTAACAGACAATAGCCAGAGGTCGGAATAAGAAAGTTTCTGGCCAGAGGTAAGGAAATGGCATCTCTGCAGAGCATGGGGTGCTTTAGGCTGTAAGCAGAATTTAAACAAATCCTCTGACTTGAGGTCTCAATCAACTGAAATTTTCAACAGTTGTCATGGCAAGGCCACGAGGGCTTGATCAAGCTGGAGCTGTCTGAGAACGGGCTTGGCCAGGAGACCAACTGTGGCAAGAGCTATAGGACTTTGTGTGTAAAGGCTGTCAGTAGGAAACTGAATCCTTTTTTATTGATAATGGCAGTGGAGTTGGGTATCAGTGACACCACAGGAGGACAAGGTCTATAATTGCTGCAAGGGTCCCTCCTCAGGGCTGGCTGAATGGCACGAGATGAAAAAGAAAATGGTGCGTAGAACTGATCTGGGACAATTGTACTGGGGCAGCTTTCCTGGGGTGTCCTTGGAAGTTGGAAAAGACCAGGACCCTCTCTTCTGCACCTTTGATGCCTTCTGCTATCTGAGAAGCACCATGTTACAGAGTGTTGTGCAATGGTCAGACATAAAAAGATCAAGCCACAACAGAAGGAGTAGAAACCAAGAAAATTTTTTACAACCACAATTATCAGCAAAGAAAAATGCAGACTTGTGGCCTAAGATAAGCTCTGGGAAATGTGCAGAGAATAAGAGACAGGTTACTGTTGGTGATACAGCATCCATTGTACTAGTTTCCATAGGGCCTCCTTGAGGTCCTGGTTCCTCATGCTATAGATAAGTGGGTTCACTGCTGGGGGAACCACCGAGTACAGGACTGTCACCACCAGGTCCATTGACAGGAAGGATATGGAGGGAGGTTTCAGGTAGGCAAACAATCCAGTACTGACAAAAAGGGAGACCACGGCCAGGTGAGGGAGGCACGTGGAAAAGACTTTGTGCCACCCCTGCTGAGAGGGGCTCCTCAGCACGGCCCTGAAGATCTGCAC